AAATCGCTTATATTAGCCAGTAATTAGATTAATTAAAAACAAACTAGGTCTGCTGGCAACTGTAAGAAATAGCATAATTGCATATCAAGATTTAGGAAGATGTAGAATGCTGAGTTAGAAAGTATTTAATAGTTAGTTAATTTTTTTATAAAGAAGACTAAATGAGCCAGATCAAGTTGGTGAGATAACAAGAATACATGTAAAACAAGATTATGCTCTAGCAGGACTAATATCAGAAGAGATAAATACAGCATATGCAAGTAATCTAAAAAAAATATAAAAAAGAAATCTTGCATGCTTGATATTGCTACGAGCAAGTGAAATAAATTTAAAGATAAAGGCAAAAAGAGTCCTTTAGCAAGTTTTTGGTACAGATAAAACTGTACAAAGCTTGTTGGAAAACAAAACATTTAAAATGGCTTATAAAAAGCTAATGCAGAGTAGATTGTTTTTTGTACAGCAGTTAATAGATCAAGAAGGTAAAAGAATGATCATATGGAAGAAATTTAGAGTATTATGTATGAGTATACAAAAAGGATAGAAAGCAAAATGGTTTATTGAAATTGAACAAAAGATGATAAGAGACTAAGTAAATAGAATGATCTATTCTAAGTTTCAAATACAAGAGATGAACACCATGGCAATGAAAATTGAGATCAAGAAGTTATTACAAGATAAAAGAAAATGAGAATGAGTGTTAGTAAACAAAGAGAATACTAAACCAATAATAGGCAAAGTAGTCAAAAAAAAAAGAAAAATGTACTGATAAATTATTGAAATATATTACAAGTTGAAAGAGAAAGTTACTCAATATTCATAGAATATAATAAATATAATCTGAGTAATAGTAGTAGTACAAGCAGATGTCAACATTGGGTTAAGAAAAGTGCAATAGTAGAAGTATTACCAGGAGTAAGGCAGATGTATAAGCAAAAGGTACCAGTCTTGCTTGAAGAACTAAAAGGATACAATAAGTATTAGATAGAAAAAGATGACATAAGTAATGAAAGAACTATAAGTGAAGAAATAATGATATATAGTCATAAAATTAGTTTATTGAAAATGCAAAGCCTAAATAGCAGTTTAGAGACTATGTTACTAGAGCAGTTAGAAAAGAACATTATAGATGAGTATATAAAATACAAGTTTTACACAGATAGGTTATTAGTAAAAGAAAAAAAAGAGTATAAAATAGGTGCAAGTTGAATATAAATTAGTGAAGATGAAAAAGAGGTTATAATGAAGAGTAAAATTAGATTAGAAAAATAGTCATAATCAACAAAGATAGAGTTAGTAGCAGTATTGATGGTAGTTTTAGTTATAGCTAATAACAGTAGAGTAATAATTAAATTAGATAGTTTAGTGGCAATTGCAAGCTTGAAAAAAGAGAAGCCTATGTTTAATATTAGAGCATGAAGCAAAATCAAAAATTTCAGATTAGTAATAAAGATCAAAAATATGTGCAAGTTAAAAAATATCAAATTAGTGCTAGTTAAGGTTAAAGCACATAGTGGAGTAGTATGAAATGAAAGAGCTGACAAATTCATGAAAGAAGATACATTGCTAGGTGAATGCTCAGATCTGAAACTTAAAAAAAACTGCTGATTTCCATATACATTGTATTGAAAAAATTTAGTAATAGAAATACCTATCAGAAAGTTTGTGAAGACATTAACAAACATAATGAATGGTGCTGAATGATAGTGCTCAAAGGCAGTTAGAGAACTTGAACCAAATACTGAAGTTCAAAGAGATTGGAAAGCATTGTGAAAAGAAAATAGAAGTTTAACAAAAATTAAATGTAAATCACTAAAGATGAATAAGAAGAAAGCATTTAGAGTCAAGTGTATAGATATCCTTATGTCTAGAAAATTCTGAGCTGCTAGCCAAATAAATATAGGTCATAGTATTTCAAAAATTCACTATATATCTAATATTAACAATTGTGTTTTATAAGTAAAATTTCATTCTGAAAACTTTTACTTAGAGGTTGGAAGTTAGTTATCATAGTAAATTTTTGTGTTATTTATGTTTTTTATAATTTATTATGTTTTTTACATTTGTTTTGTTACACAAGATCCTGTAATTTTATTGGATCCAGATAGGGTCAGAAGTGATCTACAGCCCAGGATTTTCTGGACATAAGGGTACCCCAAGTGTATAAACAATAGTTTACCAGTTCTTGAGATACTAAAAAGAAAAATACCAGACATATACAAGTCAGATGAGTGTAAAGAATGTTATGAGAAACAAGAGACATTGATACATTTTACTTAGATATGAAGAGTAAAATGGGTATTGGAATAATATTGAAGAGTTGGCATGCTGGTTAGTATGAAAAAAGCTTGATAAAGTAGATAAAAACAAGATTACAAAACTCGAGTTAAACAAAATATTTGTTGAAAGAACTGTGACAGATAAAATTAAGTACTGTGAGTCATGTATACATGACTTAGCAATGAAAAGTATGTTTAAGGAATTATATGTGAAACAAGTATCATGAAGAGGTACAAAGCATTCTGTGAAACTATATATCAAAATTGTTGAAAAAATGTTTAGAAAAGAAATATAATAGAGAAGATACAAAACAGTAGTCAAATAAGAAGATAAGAATAGAATAACCTTTAAGGTAAAGTAATATAAAATAAAGAGAGATGAAGATGAAAACTATAGCTTAAAGAGAAGCAAAAGTAGAAGAGATGACAAGAGAAGTATAACAAATAGATGAAAGCTAGTAATAGTAGTAAAAATAAAGAAAGAGAAGCAGAATGTGTTTAACTATTTAATGAAGGAGTAGATGAACTAGTGCAGAATAAAACAAATCCATTCTGGTTTGGTTCTTAACAGAGCTGACAAGGTCTTCTAGTTTAGATATAAACTGGTACAACAAGTCATATTTGAGTGCAATTTCTGTACTTGGGTGATGTCAGGCTTACAATTTTAAAATGTGGATTACTAGAAATAGTTAATGTTTCAAATAGTAAAATTTTGTATTTGAGTTCCAACAAGACTGTCAAAAAATTAAAAAAAAAAATTTCAAATAAGTTAATTTTAAAAATGTTCTATAATACCAAGTAAATTGCATATACAAATAGTTTAAATAAACAAAATTTGTAATTAATTTGTAAATAAACATCTAATATAAAACTTATAAAGTAATATATAAACAAACTATTTAAATTAAATAACAAAAATTTATATATAACTAGTTGTAACTTTTTATATAAAAAAATCTTTAAGAACAGACAGAGTATATTAAAATACTAAAAATATACTATAAAATAAATACTAAAATTTGAGTGAACTCTACAAAAACATAATAATTAAAGATAAAACTTCAATTACAAGTATTGGTTCTATTATAATAATACTAAGATAGTTATAAAAATGAGTACAAAAAATTCTGAAAGGTTTATCTTAAAAATAAAATAATTTTAAAGTTAAGATAATAATCTGAGCATGATCTAGTAATGTTAATACAAATTGCAGATTCAGAAAGTTTAAAATAAAACACTCAAGTAAAAGTGTTAGATATAATAATTAATAAAAAACTTTTAGACAGACTTTTAAATAAATAATATAGAAAAATTATATATGTAACCAATTGTACACTCTTCCTGTAATAGTTCATAGAATTACATTACAAATAAAGTTATTAATAAAAGTCAAAAGACCAAAGAGATTATCTTAAAAAAAAACCTTTATAGGTTTTTGTATCTATATAACTTGAATAAAAATTGCTTTTAAAAACAGAAACTTTAATTTTTTTAAAAAAAAATTGTAAATTGTTTTTTAGTATAAATAAACATATATAATTATTATACAATTATAAAATATATAAATTACCTATTTTGAACTAATTTAATTTTATAGATTATTAAAGTTAGAGTTAAAGTTAAAATGTAAATTTGCTCAAATTAGTTAGGTTTTATCTATTATAATCTTGTAATAATTTATATATGCTTACTTATACTAAAGAAGATCCAAAAAATATATAAAATATTAGGTTTAAATAAGTTAAAATAAATTAAAGTTAAAAGTGTATTTGTATATAAAATTAGGTGCTAAACATTTTTGCTTAAGATATTTACACCAATTTTCTTAATAAAATTTTGAGATATTAATGGTTTTTTTTGGTTTTTTTCTTATACCCGAATATGCACTCACCGGGTACAAATAGAAATTCTTTTTAAAAATATACCCAAATATCTATAAAAATTAACCAATTAGGTGATATATTTGTAAAAATTAACCAATTAGACGATAGATCTATAAAAAATTAACCAATTAGACAAATATTTTCTACTATAAACCAACGACACGAAACAGGTAGTTGTAAAAATTTATTATTTAGGAAAGTACCGTATTTTGCGGAATACATATCGATACGTACAAAAAATTAAATATAACAATTAATATACATCACATTAGTATACGTACAACAATATTAAAAAGGGAGATACGTATAAGCTATCTGATACGAAGGGTACAAAATACGATATATCAAAAATGTCCGTTGGCTGAAATCCGAATTTTGTTTAATTAATACGTATGCGGATTTATTTTGCAGATATAAACATTTCACTTAATTGGCTAAATTTGAAAAGAAGGAATACTTGCACAATGCTGTAAACTGCTATGCGAATATTTACAATGACCAGAGCTGTACTCGGAGTATTTGTTTTCATCTCGCTTTGCATTCCTCAAAGTTTTTACACATAGGGGTGTTTCTCAAAACAGGAAGTACTGCATTCGGATCTTTTCGGAGTATACCTTGCATATTACTTGTGCGTAAGAGAAATTTCCGTTCTCAAATAGCCCCCAGTACAGACATAGGGGGAATATACAAGTCAACAGTTTATGGTAAGTAACACCTTTGATAAAATGGATTAATTATAGAATAGGGTCAATTATACTGCAGAAGATCCGAAAGAGACCAAATAAATGGAACACTCATATGCGTACACATTCTCGGTGACAAAGTTTTTGAATACCTAAAAATGAAAGGTCTATCATGCTATATAACACTACAGGTAGTCGAATGCTTTTGTCTTCCAAAAGTGATTAAGATCACTTTGCATATACAGTATATTTAGACATTCAGATTTAACTTTAATTTGAATTCAAAGGAAATAAGATTTTCCGAAGGCCGAATCCTCCGAATTGAAGGATGGTTCGGAACTTCCAAACTAAGTTTGTCATCACAAAAATTTCTGAAAACCTAGTATTCAATGCTACCCAATAAAAGTTGAGAACTCTGAAAATATTCGAAATTCTCAAGTATTTTTATTAAAAGTTCCTAAATATTATATTTGGATTTACTTGGATCCAAATCTGAACCGGATTAACCAGGTTAACCAGGCTAACCGGTGTTAACTGGTATAAATGAATAAGACGAATCCAATTTCTAATCGTTATTGAAATGATTATTATTAACACAATCAGGGTTATAACTTGATATCAGTTTAGTTTTAAGATGAATTTTATCAATTTCCATTTGAAATATTGGATATTAATTACTTTAAAAATGGTTGGCATTCATTTTAATTTTGAAAATAGATTAACCGTTCACCAATGACGTAAGAAATTTTTTTTAACAGTTAATGGTATATTTTTACGTTCTATTTTACCCTTAGATCAGACGAATTTTACCAATAATCAAGACTAATTTGATTACCAATTGGGAATTTTTGACTTATTTATTAATTTCTAATAGGCACTAGCCATAGATACTTATTTTTTTATCAAATATGTAAATATGTATTCTAATCCAAGGCACTAGCCATAGATACTTGTTTTTTCATCAAATATGTAAAATATGTATATAAAAACAAAAATTGATGCTTAAACATCAATTTAATTTGATTAACTAATCATAAATACTCTTTTAATCAAGAATGTAAATCTGTATTTAAAAAAAATCGATGTTTAAAAAACCAATTTTAGTTTGTTTAATTAAAAAGTTAATTTATTATTATTTTTTTTTTACTGATATAGTATAAAAAATAAATACCCATTAGTTTTTGTATTATTTATTGAAATTTTTTTTTTTACTTTAGTACAATTTGTACATATAATATTTATAAAATACTAATACTACAAACAAAATAAATTTACTACTATTACACCAAAAATACGTATATTATTATAAATTTTGTTTAATGGATATAGTTAATTTTTTTTTTTGACTTTTACCCTTCCCTCCGATATCTAAATGTTGATTATCAAATACCAAAAAAAAAAAAGATTCGAAAAGGATTGGAACATAGAAATCGATGGATTAATTTAATCATACCAGTTACTTTTTTTTAAAAAACGACGGAATTGTTCATGTTCATTCAGTAAATTAGATTTCATAATAATAATAATTAAGGTTCTCTACGTTGAATGATTATTTTCTTCATATCCATTTGAATATGAAACACCTCCAATAATACCAGCATGTAGATTGCTACTATGACTATAGTTTGTACTATTTGTGTTTGATCTTGATGGTGATGGATAAGTAGGTTGTGACATTTGTGAATAATCACCAGGGGTTGAAACCAAACCTTCATTTAGGACAGTACTAACTGGTGATGAATCACTTAATGGTGGTGGTACCATTAGAGAATCTGTTTTTCTTCTCATACCACCACTTCTTGCACTAAGTGGTGCTATTGGTATGGATTCTGATTTTTCACTACCATACATTGTTGATGCTGATGATGGGCGTGTTGATGGTATATTGAAATTTTCGTCAGGAGATAATTGTACAGATTGTATTCGTTGATGTGAATTGTGACGAAGTTTATATAATTCCCATTCAGCCCATCGTCTCATTACAATATGTGAACTATCAAATTCACCTTCTCTTCTTGAATGATCAGCTCGACCATCTTCACCTCTCACTACACGTGTTTGTCCCCAAGAAAAGTCATCAAAATGCCAAAAAGCATAAGATGGAAGAACAAAATTCCATATAGGTAATGATAAAAGGTAAATAAACATCCAACCAACATAAATAACTTTACGTGTTGTTACCATAATGAGAATAGCAGGTAAACCTAATACAGCAGCCAAAAGAAGTAAAGGAACTATAGGAGGAGGAGTTTGAAAGAACGATATTATTATTAAATACATTGTGAAAGAGATAGCAGCTGGAAGCACAACAGTGCCAACCAATTCCATAAATATAACAAATTGCATTGAAAAGCAAAAAGTTCCACATAAATCAGGGATAAGAACAAGTTCTAAAAGATTATGCACAGTAGAATTAATCCATCGACGACGTTGAGAACGAAGTACACGGAATGTATCAGGTACTACAGTTTTACAAACTGATTGGGGAACGAATAATGTTTTTCGTTTAGGAAAATTTTTAAGCATTAAGGTTGTGAGATACCGGTCCTCACCAAGAAGAAGTAAGTTTTTCTTATGTAAAGTATCCACAACATTTTCAGAATATTGTTCAACAATGTCCGGATTTGCAAGAATAGGAACCCAATATCCATTCTCTCCTTTTGGTGCCTTAATCCTGTACATGCAAAAGCAACCAGGTAAACAAGTGACACCACCAAAAATAGATTCAAATGCTTTTTGTAGATGGTGATTAATGTAGTATTCGAAAACTATGAATAATAAAAACACAAATAAAAAAATATATAAATATAAATGTATAAAATATGATGTACATATACTAAAATATTAAATATATTAGAATATATATGTATATATATATATATATATACTAATATCAATATACCTTGAATCCTTGTAACCCAAGTATCATTTTTGTTTGAAATCTTTGTTTCCCCACAAAGACCCATTATACTTGGATCATGTGACATACAAGCAACCATACGAACCAATGAATCAGGGAAAACTTTGGTATCAGCGTCAATCTAAGTTATGATACATATGTTAATAATATTTTTAATGTATCAAGATTCATCAAAAAAAGCAAAAAAAAAAAAATCTTGTTACTAACCATAAGAACAATTTCAAAAAAGTCAGGAGTAATGTGACAGACGGATCGAATTGCAGTAAAAAGTTCGTATTCAAGTCGAGTCATTCTTTCATTAAACATAACCTTTTGTAAGAAGCTCATTAAAATAATTTGAGAATCGCGTTTACCACGATTTCCAGCTTTTGCCTCACTCTCCTCACCAGGACCACCACATTTAGCTATAGTGATCATAGGAACACGATCTTGTCTTCCATCCAGTTCTCGATAATGATAAAAACCAGCATAAACTTTTGCTTTATTGTGTCTCTTTTTACCATCAGCTATTGCAACATAAGAATGAGGTTCAACATCATTAGGATGAATAAGATGATCATTCATCAGTGAAACACAAATGTCTGGTGTCGACAAATCATTACCAGCACCAAAAATGGTACCATCAGCTATACAAAGAAGTAATTTATGTGATTTTGGGTATTCTGTCCTAGCCAATGAATCTAAAGTTGTTTTTATACCCTGTCTACCTTCAGAATAGCATGTAACCAATAAAATTGTGTGCATTAAGGGAAAATTATAACGTTGTTCAGTAAGGGCATTATTATTTGGGTAAGGTGTTGATTGTGCAGCAGATGAAGTAGATGTCATTGAATCAGCGCGACTTTGATTAAATTCATTAATTGATGATGGTCTGCTATTTCTTGAACTATTAAATTCTTTTATTGCACCTACGGAAGAATCGTAATGAATAGTTATGAATAATCATAGGGAATTATTATAAATAATTATGAAAAAAAGTCATGATTAAAAATCCTTACCATTTCCTGTATTATGAAAAGCGTTTCTACTACTTGGGCGACTATCTCTTCTGTATGATAAAGCATTACTATTTACGTTAGGAGTAGAAAATCGAGATTTTGTAAAAATACCAAACGATGATGTTGAATTATTTCTTGAATTGCTAAAAAAAAGTATAATAAAAAAATGTTAATAAATATTAATAAATGTTAATAAAAGATAAAGTTTGAAATTTACTAAAAAAAGGTTATATCTTACTTTGTAGAAGGGTAAAAATGATTATTTTCATTTGACCATAATTCAATCTCTCGTTCTCTTTTTGCAATTTCTTCAGCAGTTTCTTCACGAAAGCTTCCTAACCTCCAACTTAGTATCCATCCAAATAAAACAGCCAAAAAAAATCTCACTAAAACCACACCAGCTATAAACAGTAATGATACAAACATTACGGCACTAGAAATGACACAACCAATAGATATTGTATCAACGACACCAACACGCAAGGTCTCCTCCATACATTTTCCCAATTGTACATTTGAATAATTCTTTTGTAGAAAGTAAGTTATATCCCGACCACGAAAAGGGTTTGTGCTGGCATACATCAATGGTTTAATAACAGCAGGTAATTGGATATTTGACACTGTCCATTGAAGACGATCCATATCAAAAACTTGTCTGATTAAAATAAAGATATATTATATTTAACATTTTCATATATTAAAAAAAAAAGACAAAAAGGAAAGAAATAATAAATAAAGCATACCCATTATAAACAACATAATTATGATTCGGAGATTGTACATCATCCCAATCATAAAAGATATCACCAACGTATTTTAAAGTTGATATAGCTTTTCTTGCATAAGTTGAACCATGACAACCACTTCGTTCAGGATTTAAAGTATTATTTGGAGTCATAGGATCATTATTACTGAGAGGTTGACAAGGAAAATAATTATAAGCGTTTCCACTAGTATCCGCAGGTATAATGGGAACAAATAGACCTTTACAATGAAAGTTAACACCTTGGAACAAGAATGATAGATCATTACCACCAGCAGTTTTTTCAAAATTTGAACTATTTATTCCTGGGAAAGTAGGATGAGGAAACCCTTTGATATTAAAAACTCTTCCAAGTATAGAAACTGAAGTATTAGAAATTGCACCAGTACGAATCCTCGTGGGAGGAGCGCCACAAAAAACTTGATCAAAACCAAAAGTCAAGAAACCGACAGCTATACAAAGGGAGATTATAATCACAACAAGGGCAACCTTCTCACGCCAAGCATGTTGAGCCAACACATCATTCATTCCTAAATATAAAATAGAAAGAAGTAAGTAAATTGAAATATTTAATTAAATTAAAAAAGTAAGAAAGTAAAATAGACATACCACAGCAAGACAAAAATGGAGGAGACCAACAAGTAATACATCTCGAGAACATAACCCAAGCAGATGGACATTGACATTTTTTCTTTTTTGCAACTAATGGAGATAATCTTTTATCACCGGAAGGACGACCCAGAGGTTTTTGACTATCATGATCTCTAAGATTATTATGAGAAAAAGTACTCCATCTATTATTATTTTCAATAATATTATTATTATCAATTCTTTGATCATTCATGGCACGACGATTACGCGCACGTTCCGGTTTTACAAGAGATTTTTGACGACGAGTTTGAGCACCTGAAGGATTAGTCACAGGACCAGGACGAGAACCTGAGGGATAAGAATCAGGAGGACGAGGACGATAATTCATTGGAGGTTTTTGATCAGCACCATTAGGAGACATTTTCATTTCAGCATTCTGGTGATAAGACGCGTCATTATTAGAAGGTACATTACGATCCCCTCTAACATTTTGACCAATAGTATATGGTGGGTTATATGGTGATTGTCCTTTTTGTTTTTTTGTTTTTTTTTAGAAAAATAATAATAAATAATGTTGCATTAATAAATATAAAATTTTAATATTTAATGATTGAACATAATTGAACATAATTCAGAGAGATATATCACATATAATATAGGGATAATATATATCACAAAGACAATTAACCAATTAGGAGAAAGAGTTTACCTGTAGCATCAGGAGTTGTTAAAGAATCATCAGAAGTTACAGAAGCCCGTGCCATGCTGCGTTGATAAAAATCAGTATGATTATCACCAGTTGTAGGTCGAAAAGCAGTTTGAAAGAAATCAGAATTTTCTTCATTTTCATTTTCAATTTCATTTTCATCATCTTCATCATCTACAACATTATTGGTGACTTGATCATTCTGTTCAACAGAATTTATAGGAGAATTTATAGGAGAATTTAAAGGAGAATTTTGATTTGGATCATGAATCGAAACTTGAGGTAGTGGATTATTTTGAGCGTATTGAGTATATTGTTGATATTGAGGTGGACGATTTTCACTCCGCCGTCTTTGTGGTTGATCTCTTCGTTCGGAAATTCTAGATAATCCATCATCATTATAGAATTTATTAGGAGTATATTCTCCCGTATTATCACCATTTTTTTCAACTACATTTTGATTTTGGTCTGGCGTTAAAGGAAGAGGGGGCCGAGATTTACCAGACATTTTTTTTACTATCTTTTATATAAAGTTCATAAAAAATTCAAAGGAACTTTTTTTACGATCTTAAGTGGTTACTTTATTATTCGTCAGGCACCAAGATTTATGAAGACAGCTTCTTGTTATTAATGTTTTTAATTAGAATAGTTTTTTTTAATGATTGTCAAAACTTTGAGGGTTGACAAAGACTCTCCTACAGAGAAGGGGTGAGACTCGCTCACGAAAACAAAGTAATTGTATTTGTGTATATAATAACTTCGAGAAAGTTATAATGAACCAAATAATCAATAAGGGAAAGTTTTACATTCGTTAAAGTAAAAATAAAAAAAATATTTATTAAGGATTTAAGATTTGCTTGAAGTTAGCAGGTAGTTACTCCTCGCGTTATTTTTTTTAAAAAGTAACGACCGAGACCAGCAAACAATAGACCGGTGCTCTCTTTCTTCTCTTTTTTTCCTGAATACTTATAATTAATTGACACTTAATTATATGGCATGAAAAATTTAGGGGATATAGAAGAGAGTACACCAACAAATCTACAACAATGATATTTTGAATATAAGGATTTTTTTTAATAAGAGAGACGTGTAGACCAAAAGTGATACAAATATAATAAATTAGATAAATTAGAGTAAACGGGCGTCAATAAAAAAAAAAAAAAGAATATCGCATTAGAATAGCAATATAAACAACAATATATCCACAAATGGATAATTGCTAATAAAAAGATTTAATATAGATATGCTGATTTATTTATGTTGCCGTAATAATAAATTGACTATATTTTTATTTTTATTTTTTTTTGAATTAATAAATAATTAAACTAATTTTTTTGGTTTCGCTTTCGAGAACTAGATCTCGATTCTGAAGAGATTTAAACTTTGTTGAATATCAATTATATATCAATTATGACGTATAACTGACAATTGATATAATCAGTGATCTTTGGCGCATTTTTCAAATAGTTAAAATTTCACTAGTTAAATCAATGTCTACCAACTAGACTGGACCTTTAATTTAGTAAATACTGTATAATGTTGCATTACTTCAACCACGTTTACCAATTACCAATTCAACGGTTTATTTTTTACGTTTTTTTACGTTTATTTTTTTAACGTTTACCTTCCTTTAATGTTTATTTAATGTTTCCTTCCTTTAATGTTTATTTAATGTTTCCTTCCTTTAATGCTCTTTAATGTTTCTTTAACGTTTCCTTCCTTTAATGTTTCTTTAATGTTTCTTTAATAGTTAACGTTTGCTTTAACGTTTTATTTTAACTTATACTTTAACATCATTTACTTTAAACACTATTTACTTTAACCGTTTACTTTATTTACTTTAAACATTAACGTTTACTTTAGACATTAACGTTACTTTAAAGGGTTAGAAGCAATTATAGATTGTCAATTTACTTTTAGGGAATTGGTTTGATCACGAAAGAATTTCAAGAACCAAAAATATATTAACATTAAGCTTCGTATGTAATGAATTCATAGCAATCACGTGGTAATGAATTGAATTGAATTGACTGGACCGGATTTTCCTTTAATTTGTCCTCCTTCGTACTCCCTCGTACACCTTCGTACTATGCGAAAAAGATTAAATGGAAATCAATCCCTTCTTTAGTTTAGTAAGGTTTCATTATACGTCATTCACCATTAATCAATTTGAATGCTATCTATGATATCTTTAGCATCGAAATTCGTACCAAATATTTAAGTGTCGGAGCCGGGATAAATTATTTTTAACAGGAAGATTACAAAATTTCCGATCAAAAATCCATTAAAGGCCAAGATCATTTAAGCAATATTAGATAACCCTGTCTATATCAATGAACTTATCATGTCAATTAATGTCGGCCCATTTCAACCCGATACTTGGCGGCCTCCTTATTCTGTAATGGTACCGTATGCAACTTGCTGATCACATTGTTTAAATTTAAGGGGCTCTTTGTGCAGTACGCAACCCTTGCTACAGCAAAGCCTTCTGCTAGCATTCATCTAAGATTTCCTAATCTGTACTTGTAGGTTGTGATACAACCGATATAACCCCAGATTCTATTTGCCAAACTTAGTGGATTATATTTAGATCAAGATCAAAAAACTTGGACTATTACGTAATGTTGAGATAAGAATTTAAAAATTGCCAAATTCTCTCGTTATTTATAGTCCTGAAAAAACATGTCACTTCAAGTATTTATAGTTTCGTAACATTTCATTGTCTTATCATTATAAATCATGTCAACTTTCATTTACTTTCTTGCTATTAACGAATAAACAAACTTTATTAGTCTAACTGTTAAGAAAATGCTTTCCAAATCGGTGAAAATACAGGTTTCTTATAAATAAAATAAAATTCATAATTCATTTTTATTTATTCTAAATATTTTTTTATAACATCTTTTCCACAATAATGATCAATATCGATCAATATCAATAATTATCCTTGTATAAAGAATATAAAGAATATAAAGAATATAAAGAATATAAAGAATATAAAGAATATAAATAATATAAATAATTTTTTAAAACGCCCAAAGAATATTAGCTGAAGATCTGTTATGTATGACTAATGTCTTCAAACTGTACCTACGTATACGACCTGGGTTCAATTTGTTTCATATTGATATAAATTAAAAAGTTACGTAGACTTCGTTTGTTAATGATTAGTATTTAAATGTTAATATATGTACATATGGTTTTAAAATCTGCAGAATTGTTTTGATTTGGCCGTACCTGCGTCCATAACTATAAAAAAAAAAGGATTTTTACGTATGTATTATTGATTAGTTGCTTTTTTTATTCTTTATCTGATTTCAAATCACTAAATATTTATATTAAATATACTCGAATTCGTGATTATTTGTCTCTTTCTACTAATTATATAATTTTTAATAATAGATTCGAAATTTTTATTAATATTTCTGTTCAAATTGGTGTAAGCGACGTATTTTTGTCTTAACTATATACTATAGTATAATTTATAGTATATATAATTTATAGTATAATTTTAATTTATTTTTTAAATATTTTTTTAAGGTTAGAATTAATATTAGAAAAGATCATATGCTAATTGTTACAAGTTTTATTTTTTGTATTTTTTGTAACAACCAATGTAAAGAACATGTGACGCAAAGACAAAACATGTTTTTTTCCCTTGGCGCTTTCAAGTATACGTATACATAAATAAATATGTAATTAATTTTTCAATCTTGTAAAATGTTCAACTTCATATATATATATTTATCATTTGTACCATTAAATGTTGGCTAATAAAATTTAGAGTTATGATTGTTAAAAGTTAAAGTTAAGAAAATATTTTTAAATTATATACTAAATATGTACTAAATATTTTACTTATACGTATAATTGGTTATCCATTGTACCGATTGTAAAAATTATCTAATTTTATCTTATGTGCACCAAATTTTTTAAATTTACTTAAACTTTAAATTGAATTAATTGTTTTAAATTTATAAATAATATCTTTTTTCTTTTTAATAGAATGCGCGAATCTATTTGTCGATAATCCCAACCTAATCATATTGCTTCTCATTTTTGCTTCTCATTAAATTTCTATTAACTTAAATTTTATGCCTATGATTTCTACTTTCGTGTCTTAATAATAAATATTCTTGCCTCAATTTTACCCTATGTTTTGACCTAAATACTGTGCAACTTTAATTGAAATCCAAATAGTGTTTATTGTTTTCGCGGTGACATACGTACGTATAGGCTTGTATTCTCTTAATGATATTATATATCAAAATTTAGTTACAATTATATAAAATGTATTTATTTTGTAAAACTTCAATTTTTACAAAATATAATTCCCGTATTTTGTGAATTAAAATACCCGTGTAATACATTCAAAAAATTAAAGATCACAATTAATACATGTTACATCTGTATACAACAAGCCTTCAAAAAAGGAAATTTATACTATTGATATGAAGAGTACGTACTACATTTTTTATTTTATTTTAACTAATTTGTTTAAAATATTAAACAATTTATAATTTCAAATATTATCCTTTAAACCATATTCCAGGCAAATTTGCCTAGAAAATTAAATTGTATTTAATTTTTTTTAAATAAATAATAATTTATTAATGATATGGGGTATACTTTGTTTATAAAATATATTCTTAAAAACATATTTTATAAACTTTATTATAAATTTTTTTTTAAAATATTAATAAATTTTTATGTATTAAAATTTTAAAGATTATATTTAAAAATTTTACTATTAAAAATTTTTCAAGATTTTTTAAAATTTCATATGTTTCCGAAGCTAAAAAAATTTTTTACACTTTGT